AGAGAGAGAAAGAAAGAGAGGGGGGGAGAAAGGGAGACAGACAGAAAGAGAGAGGGGGAAAGAAAGGGAGACAGAGGGAGATGCAGAGAGAGAGAGAGAGGGTTAGTGGTAATGGTACGATGATTTTAGCATGTGGAGGCTGTGATACACAACAAAATATTTGTGGTAGGAGTAGACATAGTTATAGTAAAGGTGGTGGTTGTGGTGGTAATGGCGGTGATGGTTACGACAGTCAGTTCATTGAAATAAGAAATTAGTCATCACAGTTTCAATATGATCATTTTGAGGGTAGAGGCCATTGCTGACAGGTCATGGCGGGGGCAGTAGTGATCAGTACATGGAGGTAGAAGTGATGATGATGTTTGATTTAAAGTAAGTGTTTAACGGCACTTGTATCACAATAAGGTCAGATAGGCCTAAGTGCCGGAGAGTAGAAGTGTTACAAGAGAGTAAAATACACAAAAAAGAAGGGGGAGATGAAGACGATAGAGATGTTTGATAGGAAAGAAGGAGCAAACCACATCAAAGCACCAGCCAAGCACCCACGATGAAGATGGTGGTGGCAGAAAGTACATATATATTACACTAAAAATGAAGGAACAGGATTGCGGTGGTGTTAATTTAGGATCGAGCGATAATAACAGAGATGTAGTATGTCATGTTGCTGTGGTAATGAGTGGTATTATGACTGCAGCCTGAAATCCTACCAACAAAATTTTAGGAGCAACAAAAGCTTGAATGGGTAAGTAAAAGAATAAGTCTATGAGTTCGCAACCCTTTGTTGTATTTTACATGGCCATTCAATATTTTGGTGGTAGGGGTAGTCCTGGGGAGATATAAAATACAAGTGACAACAGGCCTAGCAATACCAGGTGAAGAGAAAGATAGTACATTGTTGTGATTAGTGATAGTGTCAGTGTTGGTAAAAGCATTGATAGTCAGTAGGTTTACAGTTGCATTGGTACTGTGGTTGCCATGGTGTTGAGGGTAGTAATAAAAGAGTAGTGCTAATGGAATAAGCCCATAATAAAGTAAGGTGTTGGCCATCCAAGAGAAGAGTAGAGCCTAACTACTACACCAGACACCACATAGAAATGGTGTGCAGGATACCTATTAATCGAACCTCTGTACTGTAGGCCTAGACCTAGATCTAGATTAGATCTAGATCTAGATATAGTACTCTTTTTTAACTTATTTAATAACGACAATAACGATCAATCCTCAACAATGACAAAACTACAACAATTATAGATCTAAAAACCTAGCCTAGGACCTAGATTCTAGATCTAGATCTAGGGCCTAGGCTTAGCATGTCATGTAAAATGCTTTCAGAGTTGCAAGTCATTTTTACAAAAATCCAACTGGCCATCACAGCCAATCACGTTACAAACAAAACGAAAACAGGACAAAAAATGTACAAACTAAGACTTGTGTGTGGCGTTCATCGAACCTCTCGGGTTCCATCAAGGACGATACTTACTCAAGGCAACACTGGGCAGCCCATGGACTGATCCCAAAAAGCGAGATCAAAAGTGAGAAAAGGGCAAGTGGCTTTGTGTATTTTGTGTGAACATGGGGTGTTAAATGATATAATCCGACCTGCCTTGGTTTCAGCAACAAGTAGAGTGTCCTTCTTCAAATCGAATTTAAACACAATCACAAAAAGTACACAATGATCTGTATTAGCCTGGGGCTGGGTCCATTGCTTCGGCTAGATTCTAGATCTAGAATCTAGATCTAGATTATATCTAGACAAGTAATTAGAATCTATGCCTCGATTACAACTGATGGAGAACAAAACAGCAGATGAATTTATGAAAGTCCACTGTGTAGGCAACAAGTCTCTCAGGGTAAACAAGTACGCTTCGATAAAAGGAATGAAACACGACTGAGATGATCAGAGAATGTAGCTGATCTATAAGAATATCCACAGGCAACAGTCGACACTCCCAAATGAAGCGAGAGGTTGGTTTGTCGCGTGACAGTCCGCGTTGTTAGAGGTCTACACACCTGCCAAAAGACTGAACTCGACTGAACCACAACGTTGGGAGACGAGGCGAGCACACGAGTTTGCAACTCCAGACACGTGACCTAACACAATCTCAAAATTATTTTTTTTCCAAGATAGATCTAGCCTAGACCGTTGTATTCATCCGACTGAAGTGACAGTTTAACTACACAAAATAAACTTGATATTGGTAGATCTAGCGGAATCAGCCACACAACAATCGAGCTGCGAAGCGAGAAGATCTAAGTGCGGGCACACTGGTAGCAAAACAGTCGCCGCGTGAACGAGGCGTTCAAGCTCTCGCTGGCTGCACGTTTCTGTACGCCTGCGACGATTCACCTCACGCGGCCATCAATGTGAGGTTTGGTGACCTTGGCCATGCGCAATCGCTCTGTAATCATGACCGTGACCTTACGGCGCGCTATAAATAGAATCAGACACTTGTGGGGGTCACTGAGGCCAGGTCGTCGAACGTAGATTTTAACAATCTCGGTCATGGGGTGTTCGGAGCAGACAACGTGAAAAGGCTCCTTCTGGTTTTTCGTGGGTTAGCTTGAGATAGGCCTAGGCTATGGCGTCCATGTATTTCGATCGACCTTTGACGCCATCCTTTTTTCTCACTAGCAAATAAATATATGTATGAGCTGAGGCTCCGAAAATTCGCACCAAATACGTGTCACAACTGCGGTGTAGATCTTCTTGTTCACAGGGGGGAACAAACTATTGATTATACTTACCAGGGTTGCTTGACAAAAACTATCCACGGTTTCAGTATCCTTAAAAGTTAAAAATAAAAAAAGGTGGTAAGGGTTGTTGTTGTTGTTTTGGTTTTTTTCACGAAGGCCTAGATGCTCGCGCTACAGAGAGAACTAGATTCTATAACAACAGAAAAACGAAATTCTTCTCACAGATTCATACGAGCTGACACCGTTGCCTGTCACCCCCAAAGAAAGAAACAGAACCATCCCGTCACATTAGTGCTTTTCATGGCTCAGGCGACAGACGCAATTAGGCTACGTATAAGGTAAAATATAGGTCTAATCATGGTAACAGAGAGCCCCGATTCCTTTTTTTTTTCTTTTTCTTTTCTTTCTTTTTTTTTGGTCTTGTTTTCCCCCTAGATGTAGTCCTTCACAACCTCCATTATTATGCTACACTCTCTTTGCTACTCAGATCGCTGATCTAGTTATTAGACTACTGTGTGCGACCGAGAGGCCTTGGGTTTGATTCTGATGCTGCTTTGCATCGAAGATTTGCTCGTAGAAAGACCCTTGCCACAATTTCCTTTTCTCGTTGTATTTCTATGGTAACACCAAAGACACATTAAGTCTTGGGTAACACTTCCTGATTAAAGAGCCACAAGCAGCTCCTCTCTCAAATTTATTTCACGGCAATTAGAAGCCTTTGGCTCTTGGGCTACGAATTAATTAATGTGTAGGGGGAGATGGTGGCTTGTTGTATTAAAATTAGCCTTAAACCCATTCCATTATATATATGTATATTATAGACATAAATTATATA